CTCACATAGAATTCAAACAGTATTTTTGATGAAGAACTGATATCATTCTTTGCCACCAATACGAACGACCATTGTCCATCGAATTTTAAATAACATGACAGTTCTATTTCAGATTTATTGCATATAGCATATAGTGAATCTTGATTAGAAAGATTACTACACACTAATTCAATTCAACTTACAAGTTACAGATCAAGTAATATCATCAATACAAACAGGAGTATTTGTGTCATTTCTTCACTAGCACATTCAAGTGAGTTTTAATTTGATATTTGTTTGTGTGATCAAGATTTGGTGCGCAACTATTGCATGCTCTCTCAATAATGCTGCTGTTGTATTAATTTAGAGCGTGTTCTGTTTTCATAAGCAAACGAGTATTCAATGAAACATTAGAAAACACCATGCCTTTCTGTTGATAGCTAATTTTATTTGAGCGACATTCTTCCATAGATCGTGTAGATTATGCAGTTTGTTGATATATATAAGTGCGAATCAGTAAGTAATACTCACTGACGAAAACATTTGTAAGTACAAAAAGAGAAGAGAATAACATAAACAACGCATGTGTCATATACTGTAAGATAGAAAAACATAGTTTTGCGAGAGACAGAGACTGTGTCCCTTACACTAGTCACGATCACAAATGTAGATAATCTAGCACTCACTTAACAATGCGGTACTAACAAAGAAAAATACGACCAATTAGAATGAGAAATTAAGACCATGAGAACAAAATCATTCTGTGATATTCTTAGAAGATAAAATAAATGAGAGTAGTTCTACATCCTAGAAAGATTGTCGTTAAAGCGACAGCAACTATAAGGGAGTACGGCTAAAATTGTTTGCTGTATACTTCAATATTCATTAATAATCAATTTGGACAATAGGTCTACTTCTATGCATAAAAAGTAAACTTATTAGAATGGAAGATTCTACATGAATGGAAAAAAAGTCAAAAAGACTTATCTGATAAAAATATTTAAATCACAGCAAAGCTATTATCGTAAGATTACAGAGCAAGAGTCGCGCGTATGTGACTCGTTCCTATATATGTGATGAGAATATTGATGAATAGAGAAGACAAATAATGATTTAGTTTTCCTAATTGAGTCAAAATATACAACTCGCATTATTAGTAATATGTCGCATCATCAATAAACGAAAAAGTCGAGAATCAAATTAATCTAACTGATATATTGCAGAGACAAATATTTCTTCTTGAAGAAAGATACTTCTTTACTTGTCTTAGTCGTTGCATTGCAATTCGAATACAAGGAAATCTGTGTTGTTGGTCATAGCTTAGCATTTGAAATTTAATTCAATATACTGTTTTTTAATGAGCAGAGAATTTTCACAAGACGGGCGTAACAACTTCATATTTAGTATTAAAATCTGAATAGGAAACAGGAAATGGTCTTTGAGAGCCGATTTTTCATCTTCGATTGTCGATGTCCAGTACGAACTGTTAAAACTTCAATTTGCAATTGTTCGAATGCAATTGTCGTTGCCCACAAAAATTTCACAACAGAATCATGAGCTTTTATTTCAAATAATTTATCATCGTTGAGCTCGATTTTTTTGTAGAAATTTTATAAGAAATTGATCAGCAGTCATGATTACAAAAATAAAAACCTGTGACACTTTTTGGTTGTGTTACCTGTAAGATCTCTTTTCAAAGTCTAGCGAATGAATTTTTTATTTCTGTAAAAATTTACAAATTTTTTTTGCAAACAGTCTTTTCCTTATTTCCAACACTTCGAATAGACACAACTTATTCGCAAAGGTCACAATAAGAATCCACAAAATGTGTTTATTTAATCACCTCTATAATCGAATATAGAAGGCTTGTTATTTTCTGTTTTTCTGTAGAGACAGCGCACAACATAAGGTTTCCCGTTTCTGCATGACTTCCATATTATTGAGATGGATCATCGAGGTCCAATAGTAGAGGAAGATGAAATCGTCAATATCGTTAACTACCATGTTTTGCAACTATACTAGGTTTTTCTCATTCAAGTAGGAATGACAGTAATAATCGCATATTCTCGTGATGGAAGAACTCAAAAAACATTTCTTCTCAGCATGGATCTCACATCCATAGGTTGATCTTGTCATTGTGGACTGCATAGAAATATTTTGCGAGTTTTTATTGTAACTTTGGTAATCACCACAGTCAACTTGAAACATGTGGCACGTTTGAGAAAATTAAAAAAAACACTACAAAATTTATTTTCTAAAATTTTTAAGATACTCACAGGAAACAAAAGCCTACTTTTTTTTATTTTCAAAATAGGATTTGAAGTGTTCTAGATAGCTTTCTGTTTTTCAATTTCGATAAATTTCAATTGAAAAGCAAAATCTCATATGGACTAAATGTCTGAACTATAAATGAAGTTGTTTAGAGTTAGCAGCTTGTCAGTAGCATGATGAATCAGAACAGATTATATAACTCATACTTAGCCGTTGTCTGATAGTGCAAGCATGAATCTCATATTTCAGATAGAACTACATATAATTCGGATGTGAATTTTTTGTTTTAAATGTGGAAATGTTGAAGTTCTGAAAAACAGGAGGACTTCATGTAATATCCAGCGGAATCAATGGTAACAAAGTGAGTGTCGACTTAAACTTCGATAATCTCTTCCTTCTCCTTTTCGGCCAAGCTAGTTGACTTAGTAAAAGCAATTCAATGCAAGTGAAAGAGAGAGTAAAGTGATGTGAATGAGAAATGACGAATATTCCCAATTTAGTTTAGTCATTATCGTTTTCAAATAAAGAATAAGAGAAGAATACAATAAAATAGAACCCATTGAAATTCTAACCTCATTTAATAAAGTTTTTGGTGTTCCCATGATTCCGTCCTCGATTTCGTTCACGTTTCAGGCTAGCCGTGTTTTCTAAATTTAATGCAGCCTATCGAGCGACTAAGCCCCACTTAGAGTGACCGATTCTAGACAATCCCTTAATTGAAGACATACGAATGCATTGAAACAACATTTGCATAGAAGTTTCATAATCTTTTCAAGAGATATGAAAAGAATCCATATGAAACATATTTTCCAGCTGCAGAATGTGTGTGACTAGATGTACTTAGCGTATAACGCGTCATGCTAATCATGGCCAAAGTTTGGATCAACCTGTATTTGAGGAACGATGACAACCGTAGTGCGATTGAAATATAACTAAACAGATGAAAGTAGATGGATCAGTATATTTCATTCATTACTACAGTGTTTTTAGTCACTTATTATAATCGAAAAACTACTTATCCTTTTGTTTGACACGCATCACGAATGCAGAATGGACTAGGACAATGTTGAACTACTTTAGTTCTTCATACCATTGACTAACATGAAAAAACTAGGATGAAAAACGAATGAAAACAGTATCGGGAACTCAAGTGACCATTGCCAGCTGTACGACGAATAAGAGAACACGATCATTTTGTACTTGTTTAGGTTCAAATCAACATCTGGCAATGGCAAAGGAATTATCTAGAGCATACAAGCACGTCGAAGAAGTATGCATATATGATAAATAATTTCTACATTGAAGATCGATTTTTTTTATCGCAGGTTATTGACCAAATTATCAATGGCGACAATAAACTGTAAGTTATTGCAGTATTCAAAATCAGAGAGTAACTTATAATTTTGGACAAAAATGCTTGCTTTACTCTTAACATGAAGTAGTATTATTTCCCACAATTTTGAACTGATATTTCAGGTGAATGCAGATCACGATGAATCCTGGTCACAAGCATCAATCAGGTCTCAATCAATTGAGATACTTTTAAATTTCGAATCGAACAATAGTTTCACCTTGTGAACACCATATTTCAACCTTTCCAGCAGTTATATTTTTTGCTCTGTTTCTCATTCAAAATCCAATGTCGTAACTATCTATAGTAAAATTTTGTTAAGAAATTACTTTGAAATAACTAAGATATAATTTCCCCATTGAAAATTTCTTCCAAACACAATTGTCTGGTCTCTAGTCTGATTTCACTAACTCTGTATGTCTTGATCGACTCACTTGAGATTTTAACAACGAGTCCACATGTGTTCAGAAATCTTTATTGAAATTTTCAGATCGTTTGTGCAATGTAGAGTTGAGTTAGAGCTTGTTACCTGACAAAATCTTAACAATCTGAGGACTGAACCTTGAGCACAAGAAAACAGGTATATGTGGTTACACTTTGCGTTAAAAAAAAGATAACAGTTAATTGTAAAAGCATGAGATAGCAAAGACAGATTTTCTGCGATCACACTTTTGTCTGATATATTCAACAAACAGTAAATAACGTTTGTAAGCACAGGATTCTTCTCTGCGAGGACAAGTTACACTCCTGAACTTCTTTGCAGACATAGACATTTTGTCTCATTATACCAGCGATGCTTATTCATTTCTGTGTTTCTTTTAACACAAAATGCAGTCACATATAAATTTCATTTTTTGTGCTCAAAGCCAAGCTCTCATAATATTAAGATTTTGATGATTAACTAGCTCTACTGTGACAAGCTGTTTCCACGACTCTAGCTCAACTCCATATCGCTCTAAGAATCTGAAAGTTGCGACGCTGACTTGTGAGCGTTTAGAAACTTGTTGCTAAATTCTCGACTAAATCGAACAAGGCCATGTCAAGTGAAGGACGTCTGAGTAAAGACCAAGGATTTATGTTTGGCAGAAGTTCTCCATAAAGAAACTATATCTCAGTTATTTCTAAGTAATTTCTTAGCAAATTTTTACTACAGATAGTTACGATATTGAGCTGCAAATAAGGAGCGAACCAAAAACTACAGGTGTTGGAAAATTCGAGATATGATAGTGACAAGGTGAAGCTATTGTTCGATTCAGATTTTCGACGTATCCAAGTTGGTTGGTGCTTGCGATCAGAGTTCATCATGATCCACATTCACCTAAAGTGTCTTTAGATCAGGGCGGGACAGGTACTTTTGTCCAAGACTGTAATCATCAAATGATCGGAAATATGCCTGAGTTTCACGAATTCTGACTTTCAGAAGTTTTTAGAATCCTAGAAATAAACACGGCGTAGTTAAATTCTGGTTACTAATCCATCTAGAATGCTTGGAGCTCTTCAAATTCTTGTAATCCTTGAGCTCTTGAGACTGCTCGAGTTCTTGAACTCTAACAGTGTATGACATAAAATAATTGGGAACTAAGCCAAAGTCCTATCAATCTTCTAAAAGATTGTTTCAAACGGCTACTACAATCTGTGCAGGCTATCAAGATCTACCATGCACTTCTACCATTAGTAGAATCAAAGAAGTTTCGACAACATATCGTGGCACCGTCACATTGAGTTTATGTATGTATATTTGCGCTTTCGTATCTGTTAGTCTTTCCGCACACGTCATCGCACTATAGTACTTTCATATCGGCGTCGCCTGCTGGAATGTGTATATTCGTGGTGGTCATGACAGATATTGATAACGTTTGTAGACTATATTATATTGTGATGAATCCTTCTGTTTTTCCCTTATGCTGAATGATTTTGTAACTCATTGGTGTCAACCAGTGTTTCCAAGAGTTGAAGATTTCCACAAATTCCAAGAATTAAACAATTCTTGAGATGTCAAGGGATTCTCGAATAGCGAGGATTTTAAGAATGATAAGAGTCTCAACAGTTTAAGACGTTATAAAGATTATATGATTTGTTCTTTGTGTTTATTTCAATTTTTAGGATTTTTCCTGAATCTATATCAGACGGTTCAGTATATGACAACGTTGTTTCTGAATCATGTGAGAGAACATTCGGGTTTTTGCGTTTATCTGATTCCAATCAGACTGCTAACAACAATCGTTTATCACAGGTAAGTCATATGACCCTTAATTATATTTTGTGAAATCATAGAACAATGCATTGAACAAGTTTTCAAGGAAATTGTACCTTGTGAAAGAATTGAGATTCTTTTCAAAGTTGACATTTTTACTTTAGTACCTTCAATAGAATAAGTTTGTCATTTACATAACCCAAGTAAATCAAAAAAAGTGGACATAATATTACTTTTATAACTGAAATAAAATACTCTTGATTCTCTAGATTTGTGTAATTTCGACCCATTTTACACAAAATATCAACTAAGTCATATCTCTTTAGTTCATTCAACTTTCTGACAAGTCATTCGAAATGGCAGTAGCGCGGTTTATCATTGAAGCCTATCAACTTCCTCTTCCTGATCTCATTCTCTCAATCCAGACGGATAATGTCAATATCAAGAAACGAGTTGACGATAATTCTGACATCAATAACGAAACCAAGCATGCAATTCAACGTGGTTTAGTTGAAACAGCAAAGATAACAAGTAAACAATTTCAGAAAACTTTATATTTCTGTTATTCATATCTTTCAAAATTTAGATGCATGGATTACAACAAATGGCATAGATCACGCTATGAATCGTCTAATAGGAGAAGGGCTGCGTACTAACGCCCCTGAAGATGATATTCCTTGTATTGGTTTGTGCAGCTGGTCACGTTCAATGGCTACCTTTGACGCCAGCAGTGATGTAACTTCTAATATTCGGTACAGTATGATGTGCTCTTTGTCAGATGATGGTCAACCAGAAAGTAGGCTAGTAGCATTGACACATTCAATCCAAGGCAGTGACGAAATACTCGATCTTGAGAAGGGACGTGCTAAGCATGGCAATAGAATGCAAGAATCTTCATCCTGGTTCGTTAGAAAAATTCAAAAAGTTTTCAAGAGTGGAGAAACTGCTGATCCCTCACACATCGGCACAACTACTGACTCGGCATCTTCGGTAATTATCATTAAATAAAAGAGAAAAATCTATTTCTATATGAACACGGCTACTTTCATTTTATTAGGTGTCCGTTGAACAGTTTCCTATTTATAGTCTCAAATACGATCAAGGCAACAAAAATTACAAGTTAGAACCGAATCACACTCATTTTCTTCTCTTCGATCATAGTCCAAGTGATTTGGACCCTATTATACACAAGCGTCACGATATCGAATACGAACTCAGTCGCAAACTGAAGTCAAAAGTGGTTGGCTATAATCGATGGAATGGTATGGACAAACAAATTATTAGTCAACAATCTTCACAACTAACCTATAATATTTTTTTTTCAGCATTTTACAATAATATTCCAATAGTTATATTACTACTTGGTGGCGATTTTACAACACTACGTGCACTATCTCGTTACTTGCAGAATGGCACACCAGTTGTCGTTGTTCAAGTATGAACTTATATCAATGAGTGTCTCAGATGAATGAAAAAGGTTTCAAACTATAGAACAGACAGTTATCAGAAAAGCAAAATCGAGACAAAGTCCAAATTTATTTTACTTTCGCTACTATCTGTTTCAGAGATGACAATGTTTCATGATCCATACCACTATTCCTACTTGTAATGTATGCCAAGTGACTGGTGAGGGGAAAAATCTAGTTTTCTATATGTTCTAGATCACTTCGAGTTACATATAATAGGACATTTTTACGATTTGTCAATTTTGCTTTAACAAAGCCACGTAATTGACAAAAACTATTTTTCATTATTTTCAAAAGAAAACTTGCACCGAATATTCTAAGCCATGAAAGTAAGAAGCTTTAGTTCTAGTAAATTGAATTGAAACGCTGACATTAAAAATATCAACTTGAAAACATAAAAATTTATCTTTTCAATGTTTTTGACAAATTTCGTATAGATTTTCATATGAACCAGTGATTAAACTTCTTATTTTGTTACTTTCACAGATCTTCTATACATTTTCCTCGACACTTTTCACGCGGATATCCTTGCTTCTGAGAGAGGCATTCTAGATGCTTTCAAATTCTATTTGCTGTTCTACTTAACTTCGACGACTGTATAAAAACAGATCAAGAAGTTATGAACAAAATACATTCATATTATAGAGCATAGTGCACTCTATGCGTTTGACAATAAACGGAGTTTCGAAAGTTTTGAACCTTAACAGAATAAATATATATGAACACAAGGAGCCATATCTAATTGAACGTATTTATATGTGGTGTAAATACTTGTATTGATGCTTTAAATGATATAATATTATGTGACACAGTGTCTTGAGATGATAATGATATTAACATAAGACTGTGATGATCAACTATTCGAAATCATTGTATAATATTTTATGAAACACACAATCGTTAATGAGTGCTAAAATATACAGCAAAAAAGTGAAAAACTCACCTTCTTCTCCCTCAAGTCTGTCCTACAGATCGTGACAGACAAATCAACATATCTATTATAGTGTATTACAGATCCATAGAAGATTTTTAGTTCTATCACAGCCTCTAACTTCCGGGCAGATTTTTCGTCATACTGAGTTTTTTCTCGTCACAAAATATAACAGACATGACGGCTAACTTGTTCCATAATAATTAAAGTGACTTTATTGTATTTCATATTTCAGTCTTGTAAGAATTATCTTAAAACTTGTTATATTAAGAAAAAGAAAATAGTACTTTTCATTACTTCACAAAATTTAATAATTCAGCAATAGTTTGTAACACAATCTTTATTTTCTTTGTTTTCATTCTGTACATAGTCTGCTCATATATTTCGATTGATTTTAAATCGTTTATTTAGCATATAGCTTAGAGATTACATGTTCAGTGACTCTTGAAAAATCTCAAATAAATGATTATGACAACTATTTATTGACACTTAGTGTAGCTTTAGTTCAAGTCAAACGTGTTCATCACTTTATGAACCATTTAAACCAAATGCTGATAGTCAATGCCGGAAACTTGATCATCCCATTCTTATGCCTATGCTACTACTACCAAAAGACAATGTGTAATAAAATATTAGATTATTTTAAACATCAACAGAAGTATTCAAATCTCATATAGATACGTTTAGTTCGATATAATTTTTTGTGTGCATATAAACTAATAATTCTCTCAAGGCTCAAAACATATGAAATACTCTGTATACCATAAGCAACAAAGTGATCTTTACACCCTGCGTAAAGCTAATTCTATTGAATGCATTCAACTCCTGTCGTTGGTTTTACCTGTAACAGCTTTGGACGATCGCTTCTCGTCGAAAATTAACCACTCCTTTCTATTTCGAATTCAATTTAAAAAATAATTTCTATTTCTATTCTTTCATAGCCAAGAATATCTTCAAAAGTAGTCTGTATAATTTATAAAAGTACAAACATTGCTCTTCCACTTACTCTCGAAGTAATTCGAATGTGATGATTCCGTCTCAGACTAGGCATCCGATAGTGTTTGTTAAATGAAACAATGAATCTGCTTAGGAACACCCAAAATTCGTGGCAGAGGTACCTTATTTTCTTATGGAAGGCTTCAGGAAATTTTCTTTCTTTTTAAGGTGATAGACAAAATGAAACTCTATATTTCTGTGCTATTCCATCTCTATTCAACTGGTATCATAATAGTAAAATGTCGATAAGAACTATTTTTGTGTAAAACTTCACTAACACCTGATGCAGGTTGACACGCATTCCATCTCAATATCCAATCATTTAATACGTTGTATTAATGAACAAAATATACTACAAGATGCAGCGAAAAAACTCTACAATTTGTAATGAACAGTTTATTTTATAGATGAAATAAGAAAAAAAGAAGTTTCTCTTCGCATGATTTTTTCTCGGGACAGCGAAAACTAGTCGCCCAGAATCTTGTTCTTTTTTCGATGAGAAGTACATAATTAAAATAAGCTTTACTTTGTGGATTGTAGAGCTTTTCACGCTACATCTTGTGATATATTTTGTTGTTTTCAAATAAAAGATATCAGGTGACAAAAAGATGAAATAAGAAAAATCAATTCATCTTGTACCAAAACATGTCATTTTCGAACGGTCGAAACTTGGTGGCCCAAAATTTTGTTTATTTTGAAAACAAAAAGTGCAACTGTAAAATAAATTGTCTCATGTAAATTGTAGAGCATTTCACGCTGCATCTTGTGGTATATTTTGATTTTCAATACAACGTATTGAATGATTAAATTATTGAATATGCGTCACTCGTTCGTGAAATTTCACACAAAAAGAGTTCTGATCGACATTTTATTATTATAATACCAGTTGAATAGAGATGAGATTGCATAGAAAAATAGAACTTCATTTTGTCGATCATCTCATAAAGAAAGAAAATTTCTTCAAGCCTTCTACAAGAAAATAAGGTACCTTCGCCACTACTTTTGTGTACCCTTAAATAGTAGATCGTTGTCGTCTTTAAAAAATCATCCGATCTTTTGTATTTCAATTACTTGGCTAGAAAAATTTCAAGGACGACGTTTTCTATGCCCTCTTGAGTTTGCAAATCGGATACAAAATTGGAATCTTGAAATAAAAGGTTTCAAAAATTGTTGAGCTATAAGAAATATGCATAGCTGGCACACTTATGTTAGTTTTTTATTGCTGGAAACATTATAATTTTCCATGAACATACTACATGCATGTATATAGCTCATATTTTGATTATTTTCAAACTTTATCAGGACAAGTTTACATTGTTTATGCCTTAAATGCTTTTCAAACTAAATTGGACCGAATCAGTTGATGAAAATAAAATCATGAAATCTTTTGCCTAAAAGTGGTGTACACCCATGAATTTGATTGCTTCCAGTATGTAGTACAGTTTAATGGTGGATTGATCCTATGTATAGAACACATGTCAAAGCTCTATTTGTGTCAGGCAGTGATAACAAAATATCAGTTATTTCATGATTTGCTTATGTGATAAACTTGTTTCTTGTAGGGCACCGGTCAACTCGCTGACATTATCGTTAAGATCGTTGATGATGTCACTGAATTTTCAAATTCAAGCGGCGGAAGAGTTAAATTTAATTTCAATGATTGGAAAGCATGGTGGGGCTCCAATATTCATAATTACATAGAAAGCTTGAAAGCATTGCGATTTCAAGAGAAAAAGGAGACCAAGAAAGAGAAGAGAGTGGGAAATGAGACAGAGGAAGTTGATACCGAAACTGAGAACTTCATACGCGACCTAGCCGAAAATAATGAACTCATTGTCATATTTGATCCCAGAGGAGTCAACGGCAACTTGGAAGATGCGATTGCTGATGCAATACGAAAGGAAATATATTTTCGACGTAAAAAAGACGACATTTTCTATTATCGCTCATTTGTAATGGAATTGAAATGGTGTCTGGTAAGATTTTCTCTTTGAATCTAATGAAAAAAATAATGCTTAATGTCTTGCTTAAACTTTCTTAGATTTGGGACAAAGTTGATCACGCAAGACAGAAGGTGTTTGTTGATGATGTTTTTGAAAATATGTCAATTTCACAAGCAAGACAAGACTTCGTAAGTGCATCTTATATTTGAAGGAAGTCTTTCTCAATCAACTTGCATAAATGACCAGGATCTGGATGGCTTTCATAAAATTATTCGAA